TCAGTGGTGAAGCATCTGCTCGACGTGCAGAATGTCCCAAGTTCAATCCCCCATCATCTCCACCAGTTAAAAGGATCAGGTAGGAGGTGATGGGAAAGACCTCGACTTGAGATCCTGGAGAGCCACCACCAGTCTGAGTATACAATACTGACCTTAATGGACCAAGGGTCTGATTCAGTATGAGACAGATGCATGCATTCACATGTGTTCGTTTGACGGGCATCCCTTTTGGCTTGTGCCGCTGCTGCTGGCTTGGCGTGGACCAAGAATGGGATAGGCAACCCTTGCCTGGGGAGGTGATATGTTTGGAACCCACCATGGGACAAATTCAGGGGATTAGGTTGGCCAAGGAAATGGACGGATGGATTCAAGCCAAATTTTGGTCCTTAATATGATTAAACTGACTTGCGGGATTGTAAAGAATGAACCTTAACACGATGCAAATAGATCTGAGTGGGGAAATGGTCTCCTGTTAGATTTCAGATGGATTCTTCGGAGGTAGTCTGGACAAGTCTAACATGAACCCCATGCAGGAACAAAGATATTTGCTAGACTGGCACATGGATGAGTAATAACAGAGGCTCATAGTTTGTTGGAATGATTGGTCTGTTCTTTTAAGAGGTGAATGAATCCACCTCCCCCCACCCCGTTGCATTTGGTGGTGAGTAAGGGGTGGCTTGCCCTGACCTGTATAGCCCAGGCTGGCCCAATCTCATCAGATCTTGGAAGCTAAGCAGGGTCAGTCCTGGTTATTCTTTGGGTGGGGGACCACCAAGGAAGTCCAGATAGGGTTGCCAGGTAGGGGGCTCCAGGCTGCTCCCCTGGATCTTCTGGCATGCACACGAAGCAATGATGTCACCCAGAAGTGATGTCATTCACACCGGGGATCCTCTAGCATCTGGCCAAAAACTATGTGGTCGCCATAGAGTTTTTAGCCAAATGCTAGCACGCCCTGGCGTGACATGCCCAGTGCAGTGATGTCACCTCTGGGTGACGTCTACGTGCTGGGCATGGGAGGGCTCTTTGGGGGTGGGGCACCCAACCAGCCAGTCAGCTGGCCGGTAGCCGATTGGGTCCCTTGAAATCAGGGGAACCCCCGCCCCCATTGGGGGGATGACAACCCTAAGTCCAGGGTAGTGACACAGAGGCAAACCACCTCTGAATGTTTCTTGCCTTGAAAACCCCAAGGGGTCAAACATAAGTCAGCTCTGACTCAATAGCAGTTTCCACTACCACCAGGTGAGTCAAGCTCTCCTCTTTTGTGGGGTATTTTTATGAGTTCTGAGTGCTAGCAGCATGATATTCCTATGACTGATGTTTAGCTCAGCTTTGTGTATCAAGCATCCTTTCCACTCTGTTCCCATTGCCTATGTCTGTTCTTCTGTGCATTCGGCCCACTTGGCGTGAGTGCAAAGTGGCGGCAACCATCTTGTCCTCTAAGAGACAAGTCTCTTTCTCAACTGTTGGTCAGCTGCAGAATTTGTGTTCTATCATGATGACTATTTTCATGGACTGGGAGAAGGCAGGGCCAGTCAGCTTTGTCTCTACTTCAGTTTCTGAGGGAACATTTCAACTTGTGTTGTTCTTTTTTGCTGGTGTCATGTGACACCGCCAGGGCTGGCCCTGAGAGTTTAGAGTGCCAAGTTCTACTTCTCTCTTACCACACCTGCCTAATTGTGTCCCCTATGCTGGCATTGCTGCTTTGCCAACTGGAGTCGCCAATTCTGGGTTGGGAACTACCTGATTATTTTGGGGGTGGAACCTGAAGAAAGTGGTGTCTGTGGAGGGAAGGGACCTCACCCGCATATAATTGTCATAGAGTCCACCCTCCAAAGTAGATATTTTCTCCAGAGGAACTGATCTTTTTCATCTAGGGATCAGTTGTGATATCAGGAGATCTCCAGGCAACGCTTGGATGTTGGCAACCCTCGTGCCAATGCAGAGGTGACGCTTCATCAGTGTCAGGTCCCCAGTTCCAGGGTCTCTTAAAGATGTGGTAGCAGAGGGGCTTTAGGTTCTGATTGGTCTCCGTGTGGAGTAGGTTGATTATGTTGCTCAGCTAGTCCCTAGGTAACTATCCTGAGGAGATTTTTTTCATACAGTTTACAGATTTCCCCCCCCTGACTAGACTCCAGCTGCTTACATGTCATAACAGCAGGGCTTTTTTTTGTAGAAAAATCCCAGCAGGAACTCATTAGCATAATAGGCCACACCCAACAACAGAAACTCATTAGTATATTAGGCCACACCCCTTATATCACAGCTCATTAGCATATTAGGCCACACCCCCATGTTACCACACTCACCTTTTGCTTCTTATTCTGTTTACTTTGTTTGTTGTCAAAACCCTAGGCTTTTTTTGTAGCAGGAATTTCTTTGCATGTTAGGCCACACACCCCTAATGTAGCCAATCCTAATGAGCTTCTGCTGTTAGGTGTGGCCTATTATGATAATGAGGTCCTGCTGGGCGTGGCCAACTCAGGAGCCAGCCGGAACTCCGTTCCTGTGCGTTCCTGCCCAAAAATAGCCCTGCATAACAGTGATTTATAATATACAAAATAGAAAAATAATACACAAGCAGGGGCTCCGTCCCCACTTAGCCGCCCACCTCCATGCCAAATGATTACCTCCTCACAGAGTAGGTACCATCCTCTAGCTCACCTTTTACTCACTGCTCTCACTCATACTTTCCTCCTGAAGTCATGGGAAAGAAAGCCGTTCTAGACTCCAGTCCCTGCTTGCTTTCTTCAGGAAGGGGCACCAGCTGCCCTGCTCCCCAAATGTCTCCAAGGTCCCTTTGGGGGGACATTGCCTTGTTTATGTCTTTCTCTGGGAAAGCTGGAACAAAGTGTGGAGAGTCACTAGCTTCCCTCTCATCTGCCCTGTAGTAATTGTTGTATGTTCCGTTGGGTTTTGTGGAGGGAGATGGACGTTGTTTGGGACAGCTGTAGCTGCGGAAGTTTCTGGTTTCCAGACACGCACGAAACTCCTGTTGTAATTGGACTCGTTCTCAAGACTGTGGTGTGCTCATCACTGACTAGGGAGAAGGAAAGAGGGCAGTGGAGAAAAGAGGAAAGAGGAGCAGTGCTCTCTGCGCTGTATATTGATTTCGAAGCAGAAGTGAATATATGACAGTCATTTTGTGATTGTCTGTAATCCCCACCCCCCCGGCAGCCATTCTGTGGTGGGGCCCACTACCCTTTCTCAAAAGTTCAAAACTCTCAACAAAATTGAGAATATTCTCCTGGCCTGACATTTAGTTGTGGTATTGGACTTAACTTGTAGATCTTTCAGGTATTCCTGACTGAATTATTTCAGTGCTCTTTCTAAGTGACCTGCTAAACATCTCCAAACTAGCATTTAAAGATGGCCACTAGTGCTTTTTTAAGCTTTTTAAAGCTCATTCCATTTATTCTTTGGTCATAAAGCCAAAAGTAAGTGGCTCTGATTCTGATAAAGTTAGACAGGCTGGATTCAGTACTGTTGCTGGGTCCATGAATCCTGAGAACTTTGGGAGCAGATGGAACCTGAGAGGAGAAAGTGTCATGGATGCTATGACATCACTTTTGGGTGATCACCCAGAAATGACATCCCAGCCCCCCCTCCCCCCGCCGCAACACTCTAGAATTTCCCCCAATCTTTATGGTAAAGACCATAGAGATTGGTGGATTTCCTAGAGTGCTGTGAAGGAACTGCAATGTCACTTTTGGTTGATCACCTTGAAGTGACATCACAGTGTCTGCAATGCCATCCTCTCCGATTTTTCTCCCACTGCTCCACCGATTGAGTCCAGGCGATTGAGAGCTGGGGTGGAAGTTCACATGGGAAACCTAGTTGTTGCTAATCTGTAAAGGTAAAAAAAAAAATCCAGAAGCAGATAAGAGAGCCAGTTTGGTGTGGAGAGCCAATTTGGTATAGCGGTTAGGAGCGTGGACCCTAATCTGGGAGAACCGGGTTTGATTCCCCACTCCTCCACATGTAGCTGCTGGTGTGGCCTTGGGTCAGTTACAAGTTCTTTCAGAGCAGTTCTCTCAAGGGCAGTTCCTAAATCCAATCTCTTCCTCCTCCTTTGAATAAAAACCTAGCTGAATCTACTCTCTCCTCCTTGAGTTCAAAGGGTTCTGTCCGCCTTCCACACAGGGATGCCAGCCTCCAGGTGGGGCTGGAGTTCTCCTGAATTCACACCTGCTCTTTGCCTTCCTCTGTGTAGCGACCCTTAGTGGTCTCCCATCCAAGTATTCATTGGGATCCACCTTGCCTAGCTTTTGAGATCTGACAAGATCGGGCTAGCCTGGGCCATCCAGATCAGGGGCTTGAGAATATACCTGTTGGTAGTCCAACACTTAGGGACCGTGGTGACTCAGAGGTTAAGACCGGAAGGTCTGTAGCTTGGAAGTTTGAGGAGACCCGAGTGCCACGGGACAGAGTGAGCTCCTGTCTCAGGCCCCAGCTCCTGCCAACCTAGCACTTCGAAAGCAGGAAATTGCAAGTAGATAAACGGGTACCGCTTCAGTGGGAAGGTAACAGCGTTCCGTGCGCCTCGGCGTCTAGTTATGCCGGCCACATAACCACAGAAAAAGTCTTCAGACAGCGCTGGCTCTTTGGCTTGGAAACGAAGATGAGCACTGCCCCCTAGAGTCGGATTCGACTGGCTTTTGAGCAAGGGAAACCTTTACCTTTACCACAGCGTGTGCACTTGAATGCTAGGGGGACTGGGGGTCTTCCGTGTTCCCCAAGGCTGCACTGAAAGTCAACCAAGCCTTCAGAATGGATTTTTGGAAGTAGCTGTGATGAGAAGGGATGTGTGTGTGTTACCCTGAAGGGTGATCTCTGCAATTTCTACTTGTAGCTCTTTTAGATCTTGGCCTTCATGCAGAAATTATGGATCTCCAAAAAATACAGAGGCTGTATTTATTTATTTTTTGTTCTTTCACAAAGCTAATCGGAAGGGGGCCTGCATTCGTTTCTTCTTCACGTTTCACAAGAAATCTGTTCTTCTTCTTTTTTAGACGATTCAAGTATAGTTCCGTGGCTGCTTAGCTTTAAAAGAGGAACAGCCCTGCAAGAACAAGGGAATAAAATACTAGTTAGAGAGACTGGCTACTTTTTCATATATGGCCAGGTAAAATTAAAAAAATATATATATTCCGATTTTCTCGAAGTTGCTTCAAGTATTCGTAGAATAAGCAAACAGTCCCTCTTTGTCCTTCAGGTTTTATACACGGATGAGCTGTTTGTGATGGGTCACTTAATCCAGAGGAAGAAAGCCAACGTGGTCGGCGACGACCTCAGTTTGGTGACATTATTTCGTTGCATCCAAAACATGCCTCAGGCAAATCCAAACAACTCTTGCTACACTGCTGGTAAATATGATCTCTGTCAGATCTCTCCTGACACAATGGTGTGAAAGGAGTGTGTGCGTGTGCGGGGAGGGGACACTTAGAAAATATATCACACTCTTTT